GACTTATTTTTAATCAGTTTATTAATGACAATTTTTCCTTTTTCTTTTTTAAAATTATTGTTATTATTAGTATTTTTTTTTTTGAGTTAGGCAAAGAAAAAAGGAAGATTTTAGTATAATTTAAGAGATATACAATTGAAAATGAGCAGGGGGAAAAATAAGCACATAGGAAAAACTAAATCGTTGAACAATTAAATTTATAATCGTTATGCATGATATGTATGTAAGTGTATGTATGTATGTGTCGTGTGCATATTGTATGTGTGTGCGTGTGTGTGTGTGTGTGTGTGTGTCTGCATATATGGTATGTCTGTATATGTATGTGTAAAGGCTTTTCATCAAATTCGACCTGGACAGCTCATCGTTTTGTTGAAGTGACAGCGGCTGTAATATCATGACTATAGGGTGTATTCCCGAAAGTAACCATTATTGTTTTGTTGATTGGCTAGAGCTGAACGGTGTAGAATCATCGATAACCTAATGAGAGGAGAGATAAAGGATAGATAATTTGATGGGTAACATTTTTTCCTGAACATTTGTTCTGTATACCCGTTCCGTATCATGCCTTCAAGCAATTCATTTGATTATTTCTTTCCTTGCTTTCTATGAACTATTCTGTTATAATCTACCTATTGCTAGGATTTATTGATAAGGTTTTCCTATTCAATATAGTAACAAAAGTTATAATTAGTAACAATAAATAATGATAATGATAATAATATTAGTAATAAATAATTATTATTACTACAAAAAAATCGTAGTAATAGCAACAACAATATCAATAACGGATAGTAATAATAATAATAATAATAATAATAATAATAATAATAATAATAATAATAATAATAATAATAATAATAATAATAATAATAATAATAATGATAATAACTACTACTACTACTACCTACTACCTATACCTACTACATACTACATACTACCTACTACTCCTACTACTATCTACTACTACTAGGCAAGATTAAGGTTATCATCGGTGTCGCGAATGCCACCATCATCAATGATTATGCATTGTTAGTAACGGTCGATTGTCATCATTTCAACAAGTATTTATAAGTGGAACAAACTTCCCTCACTTTTTAAAAAATGGATTCATTATAATCAACATCAATATTGAGTTTGGGAGGATAGGACAGAAATTTGGGGAAGGGAAATTGAGATTGGAAAAATGGAGGAAAGAGGGAGGATTGCTTGATAAAAGTAAGGTGCTACAACAATTATTCATTTGAGGTACAAATCAATTAAAACTAATAAGTATTTATTGGATAAGTAAGGCATAACATTAGATATTAACAGCAGTGAACAACTTAAGTGTCCTTTCCCATGTCTCCAAATCATGCCTTTTACAACTTTACCATTACTATCGGATCAGTTTTATTACCATTCTTATCAACACTAGTTAGTGCAATTGTTGTATTCACTATTTTGTGATTAGTGGCATCTTATGATTATAATTTTAATTATTACTGATACCATATTTATTAATAATAACTTTTCCAATTTTATTGTTATGGTGATTATTATTATTATTATTATTATTATTATTATTATTATTATTATTATTATTATTATTAATTGTTATTATTATCATTATTATCATTATTATTATTATTATTAATTATTAGCTCGCGGACTATGGGAATCTAGATATAATTGCTGTCAGTCGGACCTTGGTGTAGCTGGGTGTTGCGTAGCTGATTGTCATGTCACTGATACTGCTCCAAAGTCAGTGTTGGAAACCTATCGAGAGGTAAATTTCAGATTCTTATAGCTACTACCCTGCTGTGCAGTTCCTACTTTTTTCAGGTTTAATTGCTTCTTTATTGAATTACCCACCCCTTGTAAATACTTTAAGTGAGAGTTATCTATGAAAACTTTCCTGTACCGTGATTTTCTTATTACCTCTCACCTC